GGGGGGGGGGGGTGCAGCTGAAGTTATCTTGGTTGGCGTCCTTCCAACAGACTGTGTGCCTTGTTATCTCCTTGAAGTTGGTCATTACTTATCCTGGCCCTTGTGGAAATTTTGTCATTGTAGTTTGGTTGGTTTTTTTATTTCACTTCTATCTGCTCATTAAATTCGGACTGTATTGCTTTCTTTGGAAGACTATTTTTGAGTACTTTTTATTTCCAACTGAGAATTATTGAACAGCGGGACCAAGTTGGAGGCATTAAAGGACATTTATTTACGTTTTGGATTTTGTTACGTTTGTGTTACACATCACAGGACTGTTGTAATTGGAGGACAACAAATTGCCATTTTTTTTATTTATTTTTTTGCAATCCGTCAATTCCGTTCCACGCAGGCCGGCCAGCTCCAGGGCTGGCTGGCTTCCTTCCTTCGCCCCCTGCCCCCCTGCCCCCCTGGTGAGAAAGCAGCCAGGATTATGTTCCAGGCCTGGATAAAAGCCGGGGATTTTCTTCAGGAGGGAGGGAGACTCGCTGTCCCTCCTCCTCCTCAAGAGGTGGCTTCGACCTTTTGGCCTTGGCGGCTGCTTGCTTAGCTTCCAATTCCTGAGCCTCAAATATTTGTGCACACACACACACACACACACACACACACACACACACACACCACACCAGCTTGGCTTTTCGCTTTCCAGCAAGAGGCGGCCACAGAGCTTCTTCTATTCCCCCAAGGCTGGCAGAAACCCCCTTCAATCTGAGTTAGGGTCCCCAGCGGAGAGGAAAGGGGTTTACCTCCTCGGCGCTTTTCAGGCCTCTGGACTTCAAAGCTGGCTGGGGGATTCTGGGAGTCCACGTCCACAAGCCTGAAAGTGGCCACGTTTGGGGGGCCCCGCTCTAAAAAACGTTCCCGAGGACCAGGGAGTGGCCGGGATTTCCTCCCCAGGAAATTTTGCAGGCCCCCTTTGAGGAGTTTGGGCGCCGAGAGGAGGAGGGGCGGGGGCTGGTGCTTTGGGCCTTCCGGCAACTCACCCGCCCGTCGTGGGTGAGCAGGATGGAGTCGCTCTTGATGTCCCGGTGGATGACGCCCTGGGCATGGAGCACGGAAAGGGCCTTCAGCACAGCGAGGCAGACGGCGGCGATCTGCTCCTCGTTCATCCTTCAGGCAAGAAGAAAACAAGGCGTGTGTGTGTGTGTATGTGTGTGTGTGTGTGTGTGTGTGTGTGTTCCCATTCCTTATTTTACCCCCAAAGACGTGAAAATAAAACGCGCCAGGAATGTTTTTAAAGACACCAAGACTCAAAACAAACGAGACATTTAAAAAGGTGCGTTAAAACCCGCCACAGCAAAAGCACCTATTGCTCCTCCTGTTGAATACTGATCGATTTATAGGTAGCCCTCGACTTATGACCACAGAAATTAAGCCCAAGGTTTCTGCTGCTAAGTGAGACGGTTGTTAAGTGAGTCTTGCCCCATTTTACACTCTTTCTTGCCGCAGTTGCTAAACCGCTGCAGTTGTTGAGTTATTAAGAGGGCCGTTAAGTGAATCCGACGTCCCCGTTGACTTGTTTGGGCTGAGGTCGCAAAAGGGGGTCACGTGACCCCCCCCCCCAAGGGGCCGCTGCAACCATCATAAGTGTGAGTCAGGCGTCAGGCACCTGGATTTTGATCAGGTGATCACGGGGAGGCTGCAAAGGTCGTGACTTTGAAAAATTGTCACGAGACCCTTTTTTCAGTGCTTTTGCAACAGTCACTAAACGAACTGTTGAAAGTCGAGGACTTCCTGTGTTAGAAGAGGATTAGCAGGCCCTGATCCCCCTGGAAGGAAGGGGCCGATTCTCAGAGTCGGTGCCTGGTACCGTGCGCAGACAACGGCCGGCCCCCAGGCGCAGAGGGTCCCGGTGCGGCTCACCTCTGCCAAGGGGGGGGGGGGGGGGGCAGCCCGCCCCTCTTACCTGGTGTGGGTGACAATGTCGGTCAAAGCGCCCCCTTCCAGGAACTCCATCACGACCCAGAGCTCATCGCCCACCAGGTAGCTGTTGTACATCTCCACCACGTTCTCGTGCTGGTAGTCCCTCATGATCACCACCTGAGGGAGAGAGGCAGGTCGGAAGGGAAGAAGGAAGGCCGCACATTCCGTCTCTGTGTGTGTGTGTGTGTGTGTGCGTGCGTGTGGTGCCTCAAATGAGAGGCTGCTGACCTGGCCCAGGTGAGACCTAAATGCCTGGAGCGGGCAGAGAGTTCGGGAAGCACCAACAGACTCTGTGCCCTGCAGGGGGGAGAGAGAAAGAGATCCGCAGACCCCTCCTATCCCGGACGTAAACTATTTCAAGTCCTCCCCTCAGGACGCCGCTATGGGGGCAACGCAGGCGCAAACCACGAGGCTGCTGACCAGCTAAGCCTCACAGGGCTGCCTTAACTCTGAGGAGATTCCCCCTCGTCGTGGGGCTGTGATTATCCTTCGGATCTCCTCTCCTCCCTCCTCCTCTCAGTCCGATTATTAGGGTTATTACTCTGTTGCTTGGCTTGTACGCCCAGAGCTTCCGCACCGGAGACCAATTCCTTGTGCGTCTAACCCCATGTGGCCAGATAAAGTACCTCATCCAACTGAGACCGCGTCTCTGGAGGTTCTCCGTCATCCAGGCCGGGGTTGCCTCAAAAGGCCCTTTTTGAAAGAGCACCTTTGTGTTTTTCTTCTTTGAAGGCCTTTCACTTCTCCTCCAAGAAGCTTCTTCCCCTCTGACGGAATTTCCGCCATTTGGGGCGTAATGGTTCCCCGCACCATTCAGTCAGAACCAAAGAAGCTCCCTGGAGGGGAGGCAAAAGGCCTTCAAGGGAAAGAGCGCGGGAGGCCCCGCTGCCTCTTCCAAAAGCGCCTCTGGGTCGATCCAACCCACCTCGTTGAAGAGCAGCTCCCGCCTCTGCTGCTTGCGCAGGTCCATCTTCTTGACCGCGACCAGCTTGCCGGAGCTCTTGACGGTGGCGATGCAGACGATGCCCGTGGAGCCCTCGCCGATCTTGATGAAGTTGTCCAAGTAGCTCCGGGGGTCCCCGGGGTCGACCACCATCTGCAAGGCCGCTCGGAACTGTTCGTGGGAGACCCTCTGGGGCTCCCGCTGGGGGGAGCAGGGCTGCTGGGGGGCCGGAGGCTGCTGGGGAGGGGGCTGCGGAGGCTGCGGGGCCGGCGCTGAGGGCACCTGGGTCAGGTGGGGCTCTGAAGCGTGCTGGGAGAGCCCCGGAGGGGAGGGCTCCAGGTTGCGGGATCTGGCCGGGCCGGAAGGAGGGGCCCTGGAGGGGCCGCTGTTCCCACTCGCGGGGCCGTTGGAGGCGGCTTCTGGGGCTTTCCCGGCCCGATGCTCGGCCTAGAAAGAGAAGGGAAAGCCGTCCTGAGCCCTCGCTGGGCAGGGGGAAGGGCCCGCCTGTAGCCCGGCAGCCAGAGGGGATCCCGCAGGTTCCCCCAAGCCCCACGGAGCCAAACAGCCGGGAGCCTGCGGGCCTTTCCCTCCCCACGCAGGAGGAACCCCTCGAAGTCGCTTCTTTGGGTCCTGCTCCTTTGCGAAGCACGGGGGCCGGGCCGTCTCCGGGCAGGTGGGCGGGCAGCGGTCCCCAACCTGGAGACTTTATGGCTTGTGGACTTGGCAGCTTTGCTGGCTGGGGAATTCTGGGAGTGGAAGCCCGCAAGTCGTAAAGGTGCCACGGTTGGGGACCCCCGCTATAGAGGCTCACGGGAGCCTTCCGTCCTTAGGGCCAGGAAGAGGGTTGAGCCCAGCTGAGGGCTGCTTCCTCTCCCCACCCGCTGCAGCCTTGTCCTTCCCTCCTAGAGCCCACCTGGGAAGCCTCCTTCCCCCCCCCGTGGACGTCCAGGGGTGGACTTGGGGAGCTGAGGGCCAGGCCCTTCCAAAGGGCTGAGTTGGGCCCCTGCCGGAGGGGTCCCCCTGAGGCAGCCGGGTGAGCGAGAGGGAGGGTCAAGGGGGCACGGCTTCCTCGGGGATCAGCGGGAAAGGCTGCAACCGGGGCAGCCACACGAGTAGCTCAGGGAAACTGAGTTTTACGCCTGATTTCTGGTCCTATCGTAAGAGAAGGCGGAGAGAAGAGGTGGGTGGCAGAGGCAGAAGGCGAAGCAGCTTGATGGCTACCACCGTAACATGAGAGGTCATGGCGCAGCTGCAGAGTTTCCACGAAGATGGACAGAGAAGTTGCTACCCAGGAGAAGAAAGTGGCAGCAGGCGGTGGGTTACTCGCACGAAGAGGAGAGGAGACCAAGCAGAGGGCAGACGACAAGGTGGACGACACAGAAGGGACTCTGGTTAGTGGAAGCGAGGAAGGCAGGAGCGCGACCAGGAAAGGAAGGAAGGCAGGAAGGCACCGGCTGCAGTCGATGGGAGGCCAGAAGGCGAGGGAGAACTACGGAGCGGAAGAAGGTGAGGAGAGAACCCAGGAGAGGTGCAGAACGGAGCATGGAGGAAGAGCCGACTCTGCTCTGGCCGGTCCAGAGGGTGGTCCAACTGAGGTGCTCGGAGCTCACCGCCTGGTCAGCCAGCGAGGCTACGCTGAGGTGGGGGCTTAAAGGAGGCGAAAGGGGGCCTTTCTCCGGGTGGACGGGCTCAGATGTCACGAGAACGGCATCTCCAGCGGAAGGATCCAGGCTGGCCAGACCCACAAGGGCCTCAAGCTCTGAGACGCCCTGGGAAGTTTTACCTGAGTGCCACGGACAAGGTCGGTGTCGGCGCGGGGGTAGGTGTTAAAAGGCCGCCCCGTCTGCTGCGCGGTCTTCATCACCCCCTCCGAGATGGGGATATTCGGGGTCCGGATATTGGGGCCAGAGAGGGGCCGCTTTTCCCGGGGGGACTGCGGGCTGGGCTGGCCAGTGTAGGTGGACTTGGGTCTCTTGTCGGGCCCCTCCGTCCGCTCCCTCTTGACCACACGCTCGGCAGGGGGCTCCCTCTTCCTGTCCCGCTCGGGCGCTCGGTGACCCTGCTCCAGCAAGGGCTTCGGGTGCTCTGGAGGCCGGGGATGGCCAGACTGCTGGTGAGGCTTGTGGTGAGGCTCGTGTCCGCGGGAGTGCGGCGCAGCAGTCCTGCTGTCCACATCGTTCTTGGGCCCGTGGCGGTTCCGCTCCTTGGGGTCTCTGCCCTTGCTGCCCCCGCCATCCTCCTCCGTGTGGGGAGGGTGCTGGTGGTGGTGCTGGTGGTGGTGGTGGCGGGGCCTGCCCAGCGCCTCCCCCAGGCCGTTCTCCTGGTAAAAGTGGTCGTGCCGGGCCGGGAACGGAGGGCTGTCCCTGCGCAGCGAGTTGGAGCGCGACACCGACATGTTCTCAAACTCATCAAGCAGCCAGGCCAGGGAACCGTCCTTGGCAGCTTTGTTTCCGCGCACGATGGTCTTACGCGCATGGAAGGGAACGTGGAGCAGGCAGGTGGGGCGGGGGGGGGGGGGGAGAAGAAGACACACAAACAGAAAAGAAAATAAGGTAAGCAACATAAACAAAAATAATAAGAAGCTTGATGGATGCTTGATGACGACCCGAGACAATTTCAGCTTTGGCGGAAGCAGCACACGGCAGCAGGCACGGCGGGGAGGCCACAGGAGGAGGGGCAAGGGGGGGCCACAGAGCCGCTTTCGCCCGCTTTCGCCATCCACACGGAGACGCTTTTTAGAAAATATATGAGGGATGATGGTAATGATGAAGGCCAGGAATGCTGGATTTGGAAGGCAGTGACTGAAGGGTGGCCTCCCCACCTTCCCCCCAACCAGGTCGGCCAGGCGCTCCCCAGTTTTCAGCCAGCAAAATCCAAGTTGCTCAGACAATTCTAAGTGGGGAAGGTGGTCTCTGTCCTCCCGGCTCCGCAGCCAAGTCTTCAGGTGAGCCCGCCAGCCAGTGGGGGGGATGCTCCTGAACTGAGGTGGACCAGCCCTTGGCAGCCTCCAAGGCGTTTCAGGAGGAAGGACCCCCTGCCAGGCCAGCCCTTTGGGGCGGGGGTCCCTCAAATGCTTCCCTAAGCAAATCATTACAGACCCCCAGGCCCCAGCTGGCGAGAAAGGCCCTACCTCATCCCATCCCCAGGAAGTCAGTTGGTTCTAGTAAAGTGGCCCAGTTTGGGGTCTCCAAACTGGGCCACCTTAAGACTCCAGAATCCCTCAGCTGGCACAGCTGGGTGTTGAGGTCCTCCAGCCCCCCAGTTTGGAGACCCCCAACTCCAGAAGGGGGGAGAGGGCTGTTCCTCCCAGAAAGGGGGGCCAGGGGTCAGGGGAAGCAACCGAAGGCTTCGTCACCTTTTCTGCAGAAAGAAACAGGCGGGAGGAGTTGGGTAGGGAGGGGCCCTCCTGCCTCGCAGTCCCCCCCCTCTCCAGCATGGGTGGGCTGAATGAGTCCCAACGGCCGAGAGCTGCTCTGGAGTCCGGCCCACGCAACGCAAAGCTCCGCAATGGAGACTTCCAGGGGCCAGAAGTCTCGTGTCCGGCGCAGCTGGAAAGAGCAGGCCGAGGCTTCCCGGAGGCCAGCTGTGGCCACAAGTGGAGGTCAACTCCTGCCCAGCAGGAAAAGGAAACTGCTGGCCAGCTGGCCAAAGGATGCCCCAATTCTGGATAGGGAAACAGGGAGTCCTTGACTTACCACAACTGAGCCCCAAATGTCTACAATTAAGTGAGACGGCTACGTGAGGCTTGCCCCATTTTACGACCAGTCTTGACACAGTTGTTCAGTGAATCACTGCAGTTGTTAAGCTAGCAACACAGTTGTTCAGTGAATCTGGCTTCCCCACGGACCTGGCTGGTCAGAAGGTCGCCAAAGGGGACCACGTGACCCCAAGACACGGCAACCGTCATAAATATGAGTCAGTCGCTAAGCGCCTGAATCTTGATCCCCTGACCATCAGTGAAAAGTGGTTGTAAGTCCCTTTTCTCAGGGCTGTTGTAACTTCAAACAGCCCCTAAGTGAATGGCTGTAAGCCAAGGACTGCCTGTGGTCCTAATCCGAGCTTGGGCGAACTGGGCGAACACCGTCCAGTCCCGGGAGAAGGGGGGCCAGACCAGGCTTGGGGGAGCTGAGGGTCACAGGCTGTTCCCCATCCCCCCTGGGCCCACTCCAGAGGGGCATCGATCCCCAAAGGGAGCCATGCAGAGCCATCCCCAGATCCGGACTCGGCGTTTCTCCCTGGCTGGGACCGGGAGGAAGGCCCACTTAACCACGGAGAGCCGACGGGGGCGGGGGGGGCGCCCAGCCACAGCCACAGCGGCTCGCAGGGATTCCTGGAAACGGCTTGTGGACCCTGTGAGATTTGTGGCTCCGAGTGACCTTCCAAAGCGCCTCCTCCCAAGTCGGACGGGTGTGGCGGGCCTGCCAAGACCTTCCCTCCCAGCCGCAGCCCACCCGGGGGGGGGGCCTCTCCCCATCACGCCGACCTCGCCCTCCCGGACAATTCAGCCGGTCTCCAACAGAAACAACCCAGCCCTGCAAAATGCTACAGAGAACAGCAGGGAGCCGGCTTGACTCCTCTAACCGACCATTTGTTTTGGACAAATCCCACCAAACCCCCGTCCCCGGTTCTCTGCCAGGCTCCCTCGCCCAGGGAACTGCATAGCGCCCCCACCCCGCACCCCTCCCCCCCATGCTGGGTGGGGTTGAGAGGTGGAAGGGGCCGGGGTCTTCTGTACCGGGGGAGGGGGAGAGTCCTCCACCTGCAAGGGCCTTTCTGGCGGAGGGGTTCCCTGCCACCGCAGCCTTCCTTTGCGGGCGGAGGAAACCCTGCACAGGGAGGCTCTGTGGGGCAGGACCAGGACCTCCTGGGCCCCAGTCGAGTCGCTCTTGGATCCCATGGAAGGAACAACCTAGCCCAGAAGCCCCTCCCCCTCCTCTCAGGGGCTGGGCTGGCCACCCTCCCACGCCTGCTCTGGGCCACCCGCAGCCCCTGCCAGATGGGGGAGGCCAGGGGCTTGGCAGGACCAATCCTTGCCCCGGCTTCCCCCTCGGCAGAGGCCGTCTACAGCCAGGCACCCCAGGCAGCTCCCTTGCCAGCCCAGCACCAGGTGGGCATGGCCCCCTGGCCTCCTTCAGGTTGGAAGGTGGGAACGATGTGACCCCTTTCCAAAATAGATTGTGCCTGTTTTTCAATCAAACCTGGTCTATCTGTCTCCCCGAAATAATAAATTCGCTCTTGTTTGGGTCCCAAAGCTGCCTGGAAGCTGACAAACCTGCTGCTCACAGATGCACCCAGCTCCCCCAGTTATTTGGCCAGGTCCTCAGACAAATAACACCCATCCTCTGCCATGCCTTGCCAGGCTCCTTGCGTTCAAGGAAGCCTATCCACGTGGCAAAGAGGAGAAGAGAGAAATGGGTACAGGTGGTCCTTGACTTAGAACCATTCATGAGCTAAGCCCCGTGACCCCTCTGGAAAGCCACGGCCTGGGTCCCCAGGGCTAACTCAAGGGTGGGCACCCTGGCTTGGCTGCTGTGCCAGGATCCAGATCTTGGGAGCCGGACATGCCTCGCATCTCCAGTGTCAGAGCTGCAGACCCTGGAGAAGGGGACAGACCATCTGCTGAGTGACAGACCATCTCTTATCGCTTCTGAGAACTGAACTCGCAACCTCGGGAACTCTGCCTGGAACCAAGTGGCAGTTCAGGAACAAACAAAGCTTCGTTGATACTTTCTCGGGCCTCACATTACAAGCCAAGAGCTCAAGGTCTGCGACTCCGGTTCCTTCCTTCGGGTCTAAGCTCCACAAGAGACCAAGAGCCTGAGTAGAGCTAACTAAGTCTCAGCCTTCAACAGGTCGCATACGCTGACGGTCTCTGGATATTCTCAGCCGCCCAGGGGATGCTTGTCCCAAAGGTGCACAACTGGACTTTCTTTGTGTTTTTGTCTCTCTTGGTTTCGCTTCTCCCCTTTCGACTGAACCCTTCCATACATCCAGAACCGAGGAAGCTTCTTGGATGAGAAGGGAAACCAAGAGGGGAAAAAAAACCACACACAGAGAGAGAGAAAGTCCAGTTGCCTCGTGAGAAAGCGCCCTTGGGACATCACATCAGCTCCTCCACAGCCCAACCGCTCTCCTCTAACACCGCTTCCACCTCCGCCGCAAGGGGCCGCCACGCGAGAGCCCAGCGCAGGGGCCACCAACCTTCTGAGAGCCGGGCTGGACGGCCGTAATGTACACGGGGTCCACCAGGGGCTTTGGCCGCTTGGCCGACTCCTCGATGATGCCCTGCCACTGCCTGGGCAGCCCCGTGAACTTCTGCTCCTGCTGGTCATAGCCCGTGTGGACCCGGTGTTCGAAGTTGGAGGGGGCCGAGATCTCGATGCGTTTCTTCTTTTTGGTGAACATGGTGATGTTGGCTAGCAGACCTACAAGGAGAAAGAGGGAGGGGGTTGGGGGTTTTTTGTTGTTGTTTTCAAAAAAAGGTGTCGATGCAGTAAACCTTCTGGTGAATCAGTCGCTCCAGAGCCTGCATGGAAAAGCCCCCCCCCCGCCTACACCCGGTGTTCCCGCACAAAAGGTCTGCGGCATCCTAGCGACTGTGTCAGCAGCCTGTGAGATCATGGCTCAGGGCCCCAGTCTGCGGGGCGGGCAGGGTGAACATACGGACTGCAGAGGGTTCAGGTACAGGATCCACGGGAGGCAAATTCAAAGCTCCAGAACGGCCGTGAAAGGCGCAGCTTCCCTAGTCCGGCCTGCGGGGCTCTCCCAAAAGTGCAGATCACCCCCTCAGCCTTTCCAGCTTCCTCTGGGTGGCTGGACTGAACTGGAGGAGCTCAGATCAGGGAAGGCTGGCTTAAAAGAGGGAGGGCGTAGAAGCCCCCCCCCCCCCCCCCCCTCCCCGAAACATCCCCTGGCTGGGGGGGCTTCAGCCACTCAACTTTTATTAACCTTTTTTTACCCAGCTCAGCAGCGCCAGAGGAAGCCCCCCCACACACACACACACAGACAGACAGACAGCCACGCCACCACCCATCCCTCCATTCTCAGAGCACCTGAATTTTCCTCCCCCTCTGCCCCTCCCCAGCCCTGGTCTTCTGCCTCACCTACCCTGCTCCCCGGAGAAACGGCTTCCATGTGAATGGGGGGTGAGGGGGGGGGCGAGATGGGAAGTCTAGTGGCTTCCTTCTCCCAGGGAGCCCTGAGTTGATCTCATTTCAGCCCCAGCCCTGGGGATCCCAAAGGCATCCCTGGGATCGGCTGCAGCCCAGAGACCTGGCACTCTGCTGCACGGCTTGCCGATCCGGTTGGACCGGTCCTTGCGTCAGCCTCCCCGCCCCGTTCCGTTTGCCCAACTGGGCCAGCAGGCTCCCTTGACCAAGGCAGGGAAGGCGGCCAAGCCAAACCAGGCAGCGGTTCAGAAAAGAGCAGCCGTGAATCATGTCGCCATTTTTGTCAGGGCGGAGAAAGATTATGCGGAGATTTAGACAATTAGGTTTCTCAGGAAGCGTAAAATTAGCATTAGAAAAAAACCTGGACAGCAAAAAACGTGGGTCCAAAGAGGATCCCTCTGGTTCCAGGAGCGCCAGGCCTGTTCATACCAGGAAACGGTACGGAAGGGAGAAGCCAGAGTGAGAAACTGAGGAGCACAGAAATGTTTTCCTTGTGGTCATGTCACTTCTATCCAGGGTGCTCTCCTGAACTGCTTCGGCTGCAGCAAGACGGCCAGCATATGTGAGTGGAAGGGAAACCCAGAGGAATCTAGACTCCCCTTGCTAATCAAAGAGGCTGCCTTGGTGGGTCTCTCTTCCTTCCCCTCTTTCCAACCTGCTCTGCAGCCGAGCAGCTCGGAAGCCTGGCTCTTAATCTGGCCAATCAAATGCACATCGCGGAGACTCCGGAACTCAGCAAGGGGTTACAGGTGTGTCACGTGCCACAACCACGCCTGCCTTCCTAAAGAGGAATCTCCATCACCAGGTCTGGAGGGCCACGAGCGAAGACCCTCCTCTTAAAAGGGGCATGGCCGTTCCTTTGGCTGCAGAGAGCAACCCTGGACACCCCACTCCCCCCCCGCCCCCCAGGCAGGTTGGGATCACAGCCTATATCCTATGCTGGCTGGGGAATTCTGGGAGTTGAAGTCCACAGGTAGTGAAGGGGCCACAGCTGACCACCCCGACCACGCCCAAATCGCCTGTCTAGTGGAGTCAGAACAGAACGACAGAGTTGGAAGGGACCATTTGAGGTCTTCTAGTCCAACCCTCTAGCCTTTCAGACAAATGGTTGTCCAGGATCTTCTTATCCTGAGCGATGAGTGTGCAAACCAAACGGGACTTCCACTAAGCCAGCCTGCTGAGGACCTCCACAGCTCTGTTAAGGGGAGTCCTGTTCCCACACTGCCCACCCTTAGGGGAAATGGGACGGGGTGGGGTGGGGGAAGCAACGTTCCCCCCCCCCCAGTCCTTATAATGCTCCAGCAGGGCTTGGATTCCGGGTGGGTGGCCAGGGCTGAGGCGGCTCTTCTCCCATTTCTCAGCCCAGCCCAAAAGGCTTCAATTCTTGACCTCGGCTTCCCAGCACCGTTCAAGCAAAACACACCGGGAAGTTTCCACGCGGTCTGGTGGGCTACACCGGTTGGCCTCTTCACTTCCCACCGCAGCCTGCAAGACCGGCTTTCATGCACAGACAGAAATCATTTTGATTTTATCTCAACAGTGTGTGAAAAAGAGGAAGTTTTCTTCGGGAACGAAATTGAAGTGTAGGGCGCCTCAAACCACCGCAGCAGGTTTGGGCTCTCTGCCAGAGCTCGGCTTAAGTGCAAAAGCAGAGGAAAAGCCCCACAATGCAGCGCAGAGCCTGGCGCTTTAACGGGCCCAAATCCCTTCCGCCACTTCCCCAGGATGGAGCAGTCATAAAAACCCAAAAGTCGGAATTGCAGGAGTCAAACCGCTTCAGCTGGGAAGTGCCGGAACTAAATTTCAGTTCCCAGGAAGAGAGGCCAGGACGGAGAAATCGGAATTCGCAGCCAGCCTGAAGCCAGCCGCTCTTCTCCCGGAGAACAGGGAACGGTGGTGCTCGGAGGAGGTTGAGGCGGGAAAGGCGGCCACCCCGCAAGAGCCAGCAGCCTCAGGGAGCACCTTCCTTCCTCTTCCTCCTGGAGGCCCAAGTGGGATCAGGGGCCACCGATTCCAGGAACAGATGCGGAAGCTTCAGGCCTTTGGTTTGAGTCGGCTCTCGCCACCTTTGTTGAGATGGCCCTGTGGGTTTTTCTCTGTCAAGTGCCCAGCGTCGCTGAGACCGGAGCAGTGAAAGGAAAAGTTTGAAAAGCTGTGCTTTAAAGTTCAGTTCTCCAGAAGGGGAGAAGCTCCTTGGACCAGAAGCAAAATGCCTTCAAGGGAAAACGTCCGGCTGCCCCTGGAAAAAGCACAGGGTTGGGGGCAACCCTGAGCTGGACATCCGAGACGCTCCACAGGCAGCTCAAAGAATCCTCCGCCTGGCGCAGGCCTGGGGGACCCCCACCCCCACCCCCCACCCCTGGTCACCCGCTCCCTGCTCCTCCTAAGAAAGAGCTGCCTGGGGGGGGGCGCGCCAGGCACGGCCTTCTTCACCCAGCAGCTCCACCCCGAATGTGCAGGAAGCCCTTGTGCTGGTCGCTCCTGCTGCTGCTGCTGCCTGCGCAGAGGGCAGAGAGCGGAGGCTCAGCACAGCACGAACTGAACCTTGCGCCTGGCTGAGCACATTCTTCAGGCCTGTTATTATGCCGATTCTGCGGCTGGCCCAAGGCGGAAACTTCGGCTGCCGACCTGTATGGTAGAAGCAGCAGCAAACACCCCTGACATGCTCAGCTCTGCAGACCTGATCCCCGTAAACGAAGAGGCTGCTCAACGGTGAACGTGCGTGCGTAACTCCAGTGAATCCGAAGCAAAGCCAGCCGCTCCACCTCTGGGAAACAGGAGGCACGTGAAGACTCCAAGGGGCCAAAAGGTTTACTTCGCACAATCTCATCTGCTCTCATTCGAAGGACCCCGAGGGAAGGCGCTCTTGCAAGCCTCCCAAATGTCTGAAACGACACCTCACGAAGGGGCCTCAAATCCTGCCCCCCTCAAAACTCAGTGGGCTCAGATGCATCGGCTGCCCGGCAAGCACGTTTACCGACTTATTCGATTTATACACCGCCCACCTCCCTACCCAAAGCGACTCTGGGCGGCTTCTAGGATGAAGAACATCTGGAAGTAGACCAGCTTTATCCACAGCTCTTCCTTTGTTGCTAGCTGCCCACGATCCTGGCACGGCCCTGGGGCTTCCTGGGCTGCTCAGTGGAGGCGACAGGGAGCTTTCCCGTGAACCTCCTGCGGCTCAGCTCTGCACTGGTCCAGAGAGGCTCCCTCAAAACGGATGGGGAGCCAAGAGGTTTGCAAGTTGGGGCTGTTTTCTAGACAGCCCCAACTTGATCCCCAAGGGCTGAGCTTGCATTTCTCGGGAGCCCTGCTTGCCTTCTGTGCTCTTCCGCCTTTTCCACGCCCTTCCCGTCACCCAAGACGCGCTTGCCAGGCGGGGGAACAAAAGCCACGTCTCCAGGACGCGCAGGAACTCAGCCGGAGAGCCGCTGCACAGACAACCCTGCAGCAAAACCATCTCCAGACTCGCGTCGGCTTTTCTCTCCAAAGCGTGAGAGAAAGTTGATCCATGAGGAGATTCAGACAAGGCGGCACACCAAGACAAAAGTTGTGCTGGGACAAAGGAGTCCCACCCGCCCCTTTCAAGCTCTAGGGGGCTGCCCCAAGCCCCTCCGGCGCAGGCCCAGATTCCCACCGCTGATCTGCAAAGAGATCCAAAGACCGGCCACGAATCCATCGCCCAGAGGACCTTCTTCAGGCAGGTCATGGCGCTCGCTTGCAGCTCCGAAAGCCACCCCCCCCCCCCCAACACCCCCCCCCCCTTTTTTTCTGGCTGTAATAACAATGGAAATGAGGAAGAAGGTGCCCTCCCCCTTCAAGGGATCCTTCAGGCTCCTCCTCACACTCCATGCTCCCGAAAGGTGCCGAGGCAGGAGACTTACACGCGCACTCGTCCTCGGGAGACGCCATCGTGGCCCCGTGTCCACAGGCTGTGGCAGCTAAAAGGAATCACCTCGGCCCCTCCCCTCCTCTTTTATGGCTCTTCGGCCCATCCTCTCTTCAATTAAACGCGCCCTCCCTTCGCCCCCGTCCATTGGCTGGGAAACTTCTCCACACTTCTGGCTCTGGAGCACAAGCACTTTCCAGTTACTCCCAGAGGACCAAACGCTCCCAGTTCCAGAATGTGTTTGCTCCGATGTCCAGCATTTCCAGACTGAGTTTCAACCACCAAGAATGCAACGGCAGCCCTCCTTCCAGATTGGGGGGGGGGTGTATCCACACATCCGTCTCCTCCTCTCTCTGAGACATCCATGCAGCCTACCAGTGCGAAGGGATTTTGCCTTCCGGGTGTGGCTCTCCTGGCCCACGGAGTAGTTAATACTCAAGAGTTAATATCGCATCTAAACTTTACCCCACAAAACACAACGCTCTCTACTGCAAAAAGCACAACAGTAAAATATGTATACAAGCCTTGTTGGCAAATCTGACAATAATCCACAAAGCCTTTCAGCATCATTGCACAACAGGGAGATAAACTGTTTTCCCCCCTTGGGATGGCAGCGGCTGAATCGTCACTCCTAATTTATTTATTCATCCATCTGTCATATTTACATGGCTGTCGAATGATGCTGGCAATCAAGTGACTCTGGTGGTTTTATTACAAATTCTCCTATCCTCTTTATAACGCGCCGGTGAATCTGCTTCACTCCACAATTAAAAATCCCTTTGATGAGCCACAAGTGAGCGGACTCCTGAATGACCACGATCGAGGAAGAGTGAAGAGTGGCAGGGCCAGGGCCAGGGGAATCTTGCTGGCCCCCGTTATTAACCCTGGCCTGCTGGAAAACTTCCGAGACGATACGCGCACTCACAGGAAAACAGCAAGCAGTACTTGATCACAAAAGGGTTGAGGTGTTGTGTATAAAGGCCAGAGCTCCTTTGCGTTCAGATCGATTCCTGGTCACTTTTCAGAAAGAACAGAGTTGGGAGGGACCTTGGAGGTCTTCTAGTCCAGCCCCATCTGCTCAAGCAAGAGACCCTCTCCCATTCCAGGCAGGCGGCTGTCCCGTCTCTTCTTAAAGACCTCCCCACAACGTCTGACGGCCAGCTGTCCCGCTGATTGTTCTTACGACCAAGAAATTTCTCTTCGGTCCAAGGTTGCTTCTCTCCTGGAAGAGCTTCTATCCGCTGCTCCTGGTCCTGCCTCCAGGCGCTCTGGAGCAGCGGGCGCCAACCTTTCGGAGCTCAGGGACCACCAAACTCATCATTTTAAATCCCGCGGACCAGAGACCCTGGTCTCAAAATCCCAAAAATAGTCTGCAGGAAAATCCCCCACCCCGTTTTCGATCGATCCGATCGATCGTTCTTTATTTGGGGTGGCAGGATCCTGTCTCCGGCTCCGTTCTCAGGGGGAGAGCGAGAGAGCTGGTGGATCCTCTTCTTCTTTGTGGTAGTGCCTCAAATACTGTAACGCTGTGATCATGTCTCTGCTAGTTCTTCTTTCCATACATGGGCCACAAAACTCTACCCAGCTTGTCACAGCTCACACGCCTCCTTGACCTTGACCAGCGTGCATATAGTTTTACACCCAGTAGGGGAGAGGTTGCCACCACCTGCCTGCCGGGCCTGTGGCAAGGGTGGGCTTTAAAAGAGCTGCTGCCCTTGAGCCGCTCCGTCATTTCCCATGGCCTGCAACAGAATTGCTCCTGCATATTAGCATGGCTGGCTGGGGAATTCTGGGAGTTGAAGTCCACCAGTCTTAAAGTGGCCAAGGCTGAGAAATACTGAGCTAAGTAGACTTGTGCCAAAAAGAGAAAGGGAAGCTGTTCTTGTTACAGGAGAAATATGTAAAATATGAAAGACAAGACCACGAGGCGTCCACTTCTCCCCGCCATGCTCATCACTGCAGTCTTTGGGATACACCAGAGAACCTGATGGCCATATTTGTTCTAGGCTGTTCTTTGAAAAAAGGGACCATGTCTGAATTCCTGTCCACTGGTTTCCCATGACTATGAAAGCACTGAATAGCAGGATCTGAGGTTGGAATAGCCCTGGGGAAACAAAAGGAGGAATCCTTCAGCACATGCCAGGGAGTGAATTCTCCCCAAACCAAGAAAAATTTCCAACAGGTGCAAATTGGGCTTACAGAAAAATATGACCCGAATCTGAGCCGTCGGATCCGAAGACAAAGGAAGCTGGATCTACAGGAGGTTCGAAGTGTCCAGTCTTCCTGGACCAAGACCCAAAGCACTGGAATTCGAAAATCTATGGGAGACGTTGAGACAGAAAGAAGTGGAGGAGAACCACAGGAGTGCCGGACCAATTCCCCCTCGGACCGAAGGGAAATAATCGGTTATTTATTCAATGTATAGGCCCTCCGTCTCACTATCTGGGGTGAGTTGAGCCATCTTGAGTTGACCCACATATCCAGCTCGTGTAGCTCAGTCCTGGAAGATGCGCTGTTGCCCTCCAGAAGTGGGACAAAATACCCTCGCCAAATTGCGACTGTGGGGCCGAAAAGGAAACTATCCAACATTATAGTGTCAGAGGCTGGACTGGAGACTTCGCTGATTTCCTGGCTATGACAAACGAAGCAGAAAATTGTACCTGTAATCTAGACGTGTGTTTATACTATTTAGACTTCCTACTTCATGTTTTGTATCTTTACTTTTTTGACTGAAATGTGATGTGAATGTTCCATCTGTGTCCTTACTTGTCTTCTTAGGGACTGAGGTATCCGGAGGCCGCTCGGTATTGGCTGATCTCTTAGCGGGATGCAGTCAAGGAAGCCAAAAAGTCAGGCAAGCGATCAAACTGACCCAGATCCAGATCCTCAGAAGTGACCAAGCCCCCGATCCTCACTTCCAAGGGTGCCAGTGAGGGTCAGCCTGGCCTCCCAGCCTTGGAGGGCATAGCAAAGGCAGTGCTGCTCTGAGTAAGGGGACCTAGAGAGGAGCCCTCGGAGCAGACCTCGCTTTCCGAACACAGTTGCCTTCATTGTGGAACAATGCAGAGCCGGCCGTGGGCTTCCCCCTTCAGGAGGTCAGTAACTGAGCTCCTCAGTCAAAAGACAACGTTCTACCCATTGGCTGCCTGGGTGACAGGAATCAACTCATTTAAAGTATGTATTTACTTGGCTGAATTATTTGCCCCAAAGTGTTACTTTTTGGCATAAATCAGGGGTCTCCAACCGTGGCAATTTTAGGACCTGTGGACTTCAACTCCCAGAATGCCCTAGTTGGACACTCATGCCTTTATTCTTTCAATAGATTACGCAAGGCTGCAAACATACGTCTTTGTCCTCCTATTTTCCCTACAGCAACCTCATTCTCCGTGAGGGAGACGGGCAGCTCTTCAATATGTCAAATAAATAAACCCTGTGAAGTGGGTTGGACTGAGAGGGGAGGACTGGCCCAAAGTCGCCAGCTGGCTTTAATGCCTGAGGCAGGACTACAACTCTCTGATTTCTGGCTGGTGCCTTCACCCCGGGAGCAAAACCTCGTCTTGTGTACCTGCAGTGAAGAAAGAACCCTCTTTCCACTCCTCTCCTCCCAGCAATGCAAAAAAGCAGGGAGAAGATCAAACAAAAGTCCACAATTGTCAAGAGGTCTGGAAAGACCACCCCGGAGACTTGGAACTAATCAAAGCAGTGGGATCTGTTTTCTGTCTTGTCCCTAATTGTGGGGAGGAGCAGATATTTAAGTGCAGCTCCTGGCAGATTCCCTTCTGCTCTGGGAGGTCTCAGATCACCCCACCAGAAGGCAGGACAAGAAACCATGGGTGGAAACTCATCAAGGCGAGAAGCGACCTAGAACTACGGAGAAACTTCTTGACCGTGAGATCAACCAACCAGGGGAATTCCCAGAAGTTGTGGGTGCCCCATCACTGGAGGCTTCCAAGAAGAGACTGGACAGCCACCTGTTTGAAATGGCGTAGGATCTCCTGCTTCAACAGAAGACCTCAGAGGTCCCTTCCAGCCCTATTCTGTTCTGAAATATTCTGAGACTTGAAGGACTTTTTTTAAGCAGGCGCAGGGAGAGGCCTTTTAAAACTAGAGCCAACCTCTTGCAAAGCCCATTTGTCTGCTAACTGCCCTTCCCACCCTGGCTGGTAGCAGCCAGCAGCAGCCTTTCTCCAGGTCAAGCTCCCCTTATCAGCCTGCCTTGTTTGATTAGTCAGCCATAGCCAACACTTTTTCACAAGCTCGGATAAACACAAGAGCTGAGCATGCCCACAGCCACCAAGCGTACACCCAGCAGTTAAGATCTTGCCACTGGCTGGAAGTATAATCAGATAAGTATAACCTTACCAGGGAAAAAAAACCCAACATGGAATGAGCCAGAAGACTGACAAAACATGTTTGTATCAAGAGCCAGAGGGGTGTGTGTGTGTGTGTGTGTGTGTGTAGGAAGTTGGAACTCCATCTAGCCTATCAGAATGGGGAAAGCATTAAGGCAAAGTCAAGAGACATGGTGCATGAAAAAAAAACCTCACAAATTCCAACGCCACCCCTGCAGTGTTTAGCAAAGGGTCTTCTTTGCTCCAGAGCAGGGCTCTCCAAACTTGGCAACTTTTAAGACTTGTGGACTTCAATTCCCAGAATTCCCCAGCCAGTGGATGCGGGTGTTGGCTGGGGAATTCTGGGAGCTGAAGTCCTTCAAGTTGCCAAGTTTGGAGAGCCCTGCTCTGCAGGAGCCGGGTAGGACTACAGCGGTGTTGGGAGCAGAAATGGGAGAGCTTGACTGACCCTCCGCACACGCTCCCCTAACGCAGAAGCCCTGCAACATTCAAGAGACCCCTCCCCACCCTTTTCTCTCTCAGGGGACCTGGTTCTGGCCCAAATGCCCATCCTGCTGACCCAGCCTCAATTACGCCGACCGATCTTCCTCCAAACTGCTCCCTCCTCTCCGCTCAGGAGCAGAAACGGCACGTGGAGCTGACCGTGTTTGAGCTGCACTTTGGAACATGGATTCCGCCCAGAGCCAGA